TTCAAATGCATTTAAGCAGTTTCCTGCCAAATTCTAGTAGGCATCAGGCTTTATCTTGCATGTGAACACCCTATTGGATTAAGAGTGCTGTGGCTACCTCAGTTTCTCTAGAAATATGGTATTATGTAGGGGTTTTTTTTAATACAAGAGCTCTAAGAGGGAAATTAAATTTCCTGCTCTTGAGAAAAGCCTGAGTTGAGGTTTCTTAGCAGTGAAGCATCTAGTGCAAGTAAAGAAACTGTCCCTGTACCTGGTAGCTAACCAAAACTCAAAGCAAGACCTACTCTTGCACAGTAGGACCTGGAATTACTGGTGGTAGAAATATGTCAGTACCTGTACTCGGCTCATTGTGCGGGGTGAACGCTGATAATTCATGGAGTCCCAGCTATCACTCGGGCTGATGCTGGAAGCTAAAAGCTCCTCTGCCTTTTAGACAGAATTGTGAAATACTGTTCTTTAGCTCATTAAAGCTAGAGCTTATTGATGCCAGAGATTTATGACATTATTTTTAAATAGTAAGTTTAGGATTTACAATGTGCTTTAATTTAAAATTATATGTTAAGTTGGTTTATTTAGTAATGTACTTACTATTCTTTTCATCCAACTTCCATTACTGCTAAATATTTGTAACGAGTATTTGACGGGTTCCTCTGCAGCTACCCAATACACATAAGGCCAAAACATTTTGCTAGATTTGTTTCAATAGAGCAAGGCAGAAGACTAGTAGTATGCTCAAAACCTTTAAACTTTTCTGCAGGTTTTTTTGAAATTACTTTGTTGTGTGTTAATATCTGCAGGTTTTAGGTAGGAAAGGGAATTAAATGCTCAGTTTCTAGTTCTACGCACTGCTAACTTTGGTATTTTGGAAAGGGGTCTCTTCAGAGCTTTTTCAAATATTTGACTGCACGATCCCTTCATAAGCATAAAATGTTGCCTTATTTTATAACCATCGTAAGCAAGCGTTTCCCATTTTGACAAAAGGATGAGGTCCTATGCCCCACTGGATAGAGAGGCAGTGGATGACGTTAACCACGCCACTTCCCAGACTGCGGCCATCACATGAACAAAGACTGACACCTGAGCAAAAGATACTAAATAAGGTAACTTCACTTTAGGTTTTAAAAAATGGCTATGGAGCTCCTTCAGTTAACTGCACATGGCTGGTGCCTACGTTTTGTTTCACAGCAACCACCACTTGGTCTCAAAGGTCAGAACTTGGTGTTGTCGGTGTTGCAGTGGTGAGTGGAGCCATGTTACCTCTAAACCCCTGTAAAGGCCCTTTTAACTTCCATTGAGTCCTAGGGTTGTATTTAACACTGATCCTGTTTTTTTTTATTATTATTTCTCTATGCTTCCAAACATATCTTTTGTCCTCTAAAACCAAGTTGATTCTAAAAGTGATACCCTCATCACTGTGCTAGCTGAGGCTTTTGTTCAGAGCTCTGGCTCTGCTAATTGCAGCATGCCACAGGCTGTGCAGAGGGCCAGGACCTGGGTCTTGGGTGTTCACCAAGATATCTGTGAAGAGCCAGAGGCTGTCTCCTGGGTATGAAGAGAACCGACTTGCCAGGGATTTCTGCTCTCTTGGTCATAGCAGCCACCGACCGCAGCTCCTCTGGCAGCAGCAACAACTGGCCAGGGAGGAAGGTGCACAGGTCTGCTCTCCTGAAACCTTGTGACAGGACTCAGTGCCAAGCGGGTATCCTAAATTTCCTTTAAATGTGCAAGAGCATCAGATTGGGTCACATAATGCAAAGTGGATGGAGAGAGTCACTGCAAATACAACTGGTGCTGGGAAATGGGTGTCTGAATTTGAGAGGGGGGGAATTATCCTGTTCAACTAAACAGTCATGGATTACTTTTTTTTAAGGCTGGCTTCAGCTACAGGATAATGCATAATGCTTGCCTAGCTCTTTGAGAATATAGTATTAAATAAACACGAACTAATCCTTGCAAGAATGCGTCCTGTGCTGGTTCTGCCTCGTGCAGCAGCTGTTGGCTAAGCCTGCTCTTAGTCCCCTGCCTTTTCTACTTATTAGCAAAAGTATGGCTCTGTCATGGTTGTTTCATTTATCTCTGATTTATTAATGCTGAGAGTATTGACTGAGAAAGGGTTGTTGCCTTACAGGAGCATCGAAACTTCTCAAGAAAAGTAAAATGTATGAGAAGGAGCACTGCAGTTGCAAACCTGAGTGCCGCTTAATGCCCACTAACGAAGTGATGTATTGGGGCTTGGCGCTTTGCCATGGCCAAAGTGGCTCTGGCTGTATGTGCCTGCTTGCTCCTCATTTTTTCTCCCCTGAAGCCTATCTTATGCTATCTGAGCTTTTGCCAAGCAGTTCTGGCCTATGAACAATTTTGCCCTCGCTACATAATCTTGTGGTGGGTCACCACTCTGAAATGGCTCAGCAAAGGGTGGGAGGAGTACGTGGGTTGGGAGGGTGGCATCTGGGGTCCACACCACTGTGCATCAGCTACCTCAGCCAGCAGTTGTGTGGGTCAGATCAGCCACAGCAAGTGAATGTGCCCTTCTTTCGGGGCCCTGCAGGCTAAAGCTGAGGCATGTTAAAAGGTCACCAGGGGCTGGTGGTGGAGAGTGTGCTCGCTGCCATGATGGTACAGATTCAAACTCTAGCCTCAGAGGGCTTGAGCCAATTCTAGGAGTGTAAAATTCGTTTTAAAAGCAGCAAGGAGTACTGGTTTTGTGGGTTTTCTATGTATTTAAGTTGTTTTGAAACTAGCATCTGGACTGATTGTGCAAGCTGTAGGCTGCTTGGTATATATGCAACCACAGACCTAGAACAGGCTGTGAAGTTGCTGTGATTCTTTTTAAGGACTTCTTTGGAGAAGAACAAGCGATCCATATCAATATATGGATCCCCTTGGATTCTCTTCTCAGGGAAATATGTAGGACCAGTCACTGGGAGGCAAGCTATGTCTGGGAAGGATCCCTTGCCTGAAGAAACCCACCCCATTTCATCTTTCTCAAGAGCTGCAGGAGAACTTCCTTGGACCTCTGCTCTATTAAAGCATTTTGCCGTTCTTTCTGCCTGCATGGGAGAAGGGCTAGCAGAGTTCTCTGGATAATAGTGGACCTTAATTGTGTCCTTTCTTCTGTTGCTATATTGGCTGTTTGACATGTTCCAGGTTTCACACAAACCAGTGGTACAGTTCCTCCTTCCTCCCTAGGGGGTCCAGGCTGATGCAGCATAGGGGTTTTATGCTACTGGGAGGATGGAGGGGTGGGAGCTCATGCTGCTCTAGCCAGTGCAAAGGAGTCATGCAATGTGTGTTGCAGGGAGGGTGCCAAAGTCAAGGGTGAATGTTGTTCTCATTAGCAGTGCTAATTACCTCTCTTTCAGCACTAATGTTTAGTTCCAAGGACTCCAGCATCTGGGGACTCTCTGCTCTCTGACTATCACTATGTTGTGCTAACTGGGAGTTGCTCTCTACCGGTTCATCCAGGAGAATTGCAGAAGAAAACTAGCTTATGTACCTTAAAAGAGAAATTTGGGGGTGGAATATGGGTTTTATGGCTTAGCCTGGGTTTTTTTTTTTTAGGGGTACAGCGGAAGGTGTTTCCAAATTCTTAGGAGACCGATCAGCACACAGTTGTGTGCCGTCAAACACATCAAACTGGGATCATTGCTGTGCCCACTCCTTTTGTGCATCTTTGCCAGTGTATTATGGAGGTGATGCAATTTTTGCATTGAAACTGCTCAAATGGCATATCTGGTCCAGTGGGGAGTGTGTTTAAATGTGTTCCTTCTTGAGTCTCTGAGCTTCAAAGCAAGAGCACTGGAGAGCTGAGCATCCGTCTCAACAGGAGGGCATACACAAGCGCTGCTGTGTGCAACTTTTTCCTTATAACTCAGTGTTTTGAAATTAAGATTTGAGACTCTTAAAATTGGGAAAAGAAAGTAAAGCCAAATGACTCTTTAAATTAAGGGTGGTGGGTTTGGTTGGTGTTTTTTTCTTTGCATCCTGGTCTGGTTCTTTGACCTGGGACTAGGAGGGCTGGAGTGAGAGACAAAGCTGTGGATGGAGAACTGCAGGTGAGCCGTGAAAGGGAACCAACTCCTGCAGCTGCCCTGTCTCTGCCTGCCTTGTTTGTTCTGTGTGTGGGGCTTTGTCCTGCCTAAAGCCTGTTCTCAAGATCTGTTCTTCATTCATGCATCCGCACTACAAATGCTTTTACAACCACTTTAGTTATTGCTTGCTTCTTTCCCTCTGGTACCTTGTTAAAAAAGGCTAAAGACATTGGAGTAAGTGTCCTGTACATGGTTAGCAGAATTGTGGTAGTGCTATGGTGAAAGAAAAGGGTATCTTGGGATTTCTGTATTTGAACGCTCTCTGCTGGGCTGGAAAGCTAGCCCTCATGGAGTTGTAGCATTTAGGAATGAGGGGAAATGAAACTAGATCTCATTTCACCTGCATAAGTTGAACAAAATTAACATTTTATAGAATTTGAATCCTCTGCATACGTACTAACTGGAGATGATGGGATTGTGTAAGAGGACTATAAATGTTCTAGCAGTGCTTCCTTCTTAAGCTGTTTGCTCAGTTTTGTTTTAACAAAAAATGTTGATCCCACACAGACATTTGAAGAGCAACATGCATCATAAGGTACACTTGGCACATCGTTGGCTTATTTGATGCAGCATCCTGAGCTCTCTTTGGAAGTGGTTGGTGCCACATGCTCCTTCACATGCAGCATCACTGGAGGGGGCTCGCAGGGAGCAGGGTGTGTACAGATGCAGGGCTGGCAGGGTGGGTCAGACTGAGAAGTGAGCTGTGCTTATCCTGTGGGCAGCAGGGCTTTGAGTTGCTTCTTGGGTTAATGTTGCCATGTTTTGCTTCATCTCTCTTGAAAACTCATCCTGCTAGGAAAAACAACTTTATTGATACTGAGAACCTCCTGCTGCCTTTGTGCAGATGCCTGACTGAAGCTGAGAGTCAGAATCTGCGCTTCATCATTCTTAATGTGCTTTCTTTTCTTGCAGGCGTGAATGACAGAGGAGGTGCCCCCGACTGCACTTACGGACGTAAACCTGCGTCTTCTCTGCCACGATGACATAGACACAGTGAAACAGCTCTGTGGTGACTGGTTCCCAATAGAGTATGTTACCAGTTTGGGGTGTGAGGTGGTGAGGATCTAGAAAGATGGTGTGAACCTGCACTGGTCCAGGTCACACCTGACACCAGAGGCTCTGCAGCCATCTGGACTGTTGCTAGGATAGCAGCAGGTTCTGAATCTCCTATGAACTGTGGCAGTGTTCCTGTTAATGGCCCTTTGCTGCCTGTCCTGCAGGGTGCTAAAGTCATCAGAAAGTTCCTGTATGCAGATTTTGGCAGAAAAATTGGCTTTGTAATTAAGGGGGTGGATCAGCTTCTTGGGAAAGACTGTGTATGAGATGGGGAAAGGAGCATACCTCCAGGAAAAAGGACAGCATCCCTGTGCTTGTGAAAGAAAGTTATGTTCTAGAGTGTGTGCCGAGAAAGCGCTCTCAGAGCTGAACCAAACTGACATGGAGCAACTGTTCCTAAGGGACTGTCTTTCTGAATGTCCCAGGGGGAGACTGAATGGTACTTGCCTGTGTACTTGGGATCACTGTTGCTCCCAAAGCTCTGGCAAAGTTCTGGCTTAAAGCTGATCTTGGTCTGTCCCAGGCCCCCATTTGGTTAAATGCTTGTGTCTGCACAAGCATGGGAATAAGGAGCTTTTCTGGGGGACAGTGATAGCTTTCTGGCTTAAAGCATCCAGGGAAACTACAGCTGTAGACTTCAAGGATTTTTTTTCTTCAGCTTTGTTGAGAAGGTTTATAGACGATTTTAGTGGATTATAATTAACATTGCATAAAATGTAACAAACCAGCAAAAGCATTCATAATATTTTGAATTTGTAGATTTATTTTAAACACCAGGCATGCTGAGCTCTCACTTTGAAATAAATTAGCGTATGCTAGTTTCCCTTTAGTAGCTGCAGAAGGAGGAGGAGAGCTGGATGCTGGTGATGTGATTTTTTTTTTTTTTGTACCAATATGCAGTATTTCTTCACATGTGTATCAAATTAATGAGATCCTTACTCTCTTAGATGAGGGCAGATGGATCTTGCATTTAAAAATAACTTGCTAAAGATGGAAGTGAAAGCTCTGGGTAATGAGTGTAAAATGAAAATGTGGTTGTCTTAGCAGGGCAGGAGGCCATTACATGAGCAGCCTGCATTGCTGCTTAGATGCAATTGAAAGAAACCATGCTACCAAATGGAGTACAGCAGTGGTTTGATGTTCATTGGTACCATGCAGCAGTTAAGACAGGAAAGGTGAATACCTTCCTAACCCAGATTTCACAGAATAAGCTAAATTAGTAGCACAGAAAGAGCTTTAGATTGACATATGGCTGAGCTACTTGGCTGTATGTCTTTGGAGAAGACAGTCCTTTCAGTAGTACAGCTTCCCTCCCTTAGTCTTGTGTAAAATACATTGGCCTGCAGCTCCAGTGACTAGCATTTGAAGATGTTGTTGCCTGTTTCCAGTTGAGCAGCATCTCGGCACCATGTTTGCTGTGGCGCTGCCTGCTCCCAAGGGCTTTATGTCCCCAAACATTCCTGTTTTTTCTTCCTTCCCAGGTACCCTGACTCATGGTACCGAGATATCACTTCCAACAAGAAGTTCTTTTCCCTCGCAGCCACATATAGAGGCTCCATCGTGGGAATGATAGTGGCAGAGATCAAGAGCAGAACAAAGGTGCATAAAGAGGTACGCTACTAACCTATGCTTCAGTATGACATAGTCCACCTCTTGCCATGGTTAACAGCGATGGGACCTGTTCAGGGTACTTTTTCCCCCCTCCATCCAGGCACTTAAAAGAGTGATCCTGAGTTAATTTAAGAAACCAAGAACACGCCCATTTCCAGCTAATGGAGCATGGGTGGCGGGATGTATCTGAACACGTGGGCTGCTGAGCAGCCTAGTACCACAAAGTTTCTTCCTGCTGGGGCTAAGCAGCTGTGGCCTGATGGGAAGCTTGCTGCCTGATGTGCTGTACGGAGAGATCAGATCATGCAAGCATAATCCAAAAGTGACTGTGTAGCAGGCTATTTAACTGTTGCCTGGCTGTTTTGAGTGTGCCTGGTGATCACTGGTGACTGAGGTATGCGCAGCTGTGGGAAAACGAACCTCTTCCTTTCTTACGTAAGGGTTGAATTTCCTTAGCTGTGCTGGGCGAGTCACCCCTCTGACTTCTCCTTCATTTAGATGGTCACTGTCTTGAACACAAAGCAGAGGTAACCAATCTGCAGAAAGCTCAGGCTTTAGGGGTAACAGAGCTTGGGAGCCAGGAGAGAAAACACAGTACAGCAGAGAGGTGAAGAAGAGATGGTCACTGAAGACAGTATGGG